GTTCAAAACATGATTGAAACAAGACAATAAGAGATGGGAAATAATTCAGAAAATAATTTAATGAAGATAGGAAAAGATAGGGAAAAATAAGGGAATCCAATAAAGTGAGATGGACAAAGCTGAGCAATGGTTCAAAACATGATTGAAACAAGACAATAGGGAATGAGAAAGGGTTAAGAAAATAATTGAAGAACACAAGTGGAGGTGGGCAAAAATTCAGAACATTATTGAATGAGGATAAAGGAATCCAATAAAGTAAAAGCAAAAGTAAAAATGGAAGACAATTATGCCAATGACTTCAATGAAGGGTTTGAATTATTTCGGGCATACCAAAAGTAGCAGCTCCAGGGATTGCTATCGCTTTTAAAAAAATCGTGTGGTTCCATTGTTTTTAATATAAATCGTATGCTACTTATTTTTACTTTCAAATTCCATGAAATAAAATGTTGTTGTTAATATAAATCGTGTGCTACTTATTTTTACTTTCAAATTCCATGAAATAAAATGTTGTTGTACTTGTTTTTATTTTTAAGTGAAATTCTATTATGTTTTGGAATTTTAATTTTTTTAGGTTAAAATGTTTAGAAAATTAAATCATGAATGTTGAAACAAAAATAATGTCAAGAAAAATTAACGAGAACAAAAATTTAGGGGTTAATCATTCTTGAACAATTTAATAATGTTGCGGACTCAAATTATGAGTCTGAAAGGTTTGAGGAAAAATAAAATTTTGAGTCCTAAAAATACATGAATAGTTGTATTTTGGAAAGTGGAAATTTGAGTTTAGCCCCAACATGATTGGGGAAAACCTATCTGGATCTACGTTGTCATAAATATTTATCATACCTCCCTCATAAGACATTTCATTGTTGACAAACTTCCCGGCATATCTTAACTCCAAAGTGAAGTAACTGAGGGTGGGTGCGGGTGAGTATGGAACAGTAGAGAGTTCTTCCGTTAACTGTACCAAATCTTTTGGTAGACTAATTTCTCTTCCGTTAACCAACCATTAAATCCTTTAACCATTTGATTGGTTAACCATAAGTTCGAATCAGGTTGGTTCGGTAGGCCGGTAGTACCATTTGTATTTTGGTTGAGATGCAGTCGGTACATGGATTTTTCGGTTAACAAACCAAACCATACTGTCAGTACAGTGCAGTCGGTACATGGATTTTTCGGTTGAGATGCCCACCCCTAGAAGTAACCATCATCTGCAAAATAAAGTAAACATATATGTTCAAAATATTGAAATGTAAAAACAATAATCATATTCACATGATTAGTATAATCTAAGCAATACATTAACATATTTTGCAGCTTATATATGACAAAATGGTGGTAAACAATGAATTTATGAAGGATGGGTACTGTATATGTACAACCAGACAACACCAGTTTTTAGTGTGAAAAGTTACCACATACTGTACACATATTACATTCCTAAAGCACCACAAGATAACACCCTTTTTTGGCTGGAACTAGACAACACCACAGGTTAAAGGCACAACCTTTTTCTAGCTTAAACTATTCACCCACCATATTCAGTGGGCTTAACTACACGTGATGAATGCATAATCCCCAATTTGAAATTTTACACAAGGATTTGAGTTTTTACACGCTTCTGATGGTGGGTTAAGACTAAATGACAATAAAGCCTTTGCCAAATTGACGGAATTGAAGGCTTGGACTTGATTTGTTAATGACTTGAAGAACAGTGACGAAATCAGGAAAATTAAAATCACAGTGCTAAAATTGATTATGGGCCTAACCCTAATGATCAAAATTGCAACTAACGCTTAAAATTTTGAATATAAGGTGGATGGGGAATAAGCACTCTTATTTTAATATTATCTTTATAATTTATTTAATACTAACTATTATTTGTTGTTATTCTTTTGCCTTTATTTTATTAAAAAATTGAATTAATAGAGAAATAAAATATTCATAACTCCCTAAACTAATTATTGTAGTTGAAATTAAAATAGATTTCTAGAGTGTTTTTTTCCCTAAATTTTAACTAAAATTTAAGGACTGTGATTGTAGATACTCTTATGTGATTCACTCACCGAACACAAATACTTCTTTACAAATTTATAAATAAACCCAATTCTAGACATGTATTTATTAAAAAACTCAAATACTATTTAAACATAGAAACAAACCCAAAATCAACCCCAAAGTCAACAATTGTATATTTTTTGGGTGTGTTTATAAATGAGTTTTGAGTGTGTGTAATGATGAGTTTTGGGTGTGTTTATAAAGTGTTTTGGGTGTTAAGTTTTTTTATAATTTCAGCTCCCATTTTGGATGTTTTAGTGAAACTCCCATATTTCTTCTCATTTTGACCTCATATATGGGAATTGGCTACCTTCTAATTTGGTATTTCTTTTTCCTTTTTTGTTTTTTTTTTCTCAAAACTTATTATGAATCGTCGGATTAAAACATTAAAATCTGGTGGTTCATAAAAACAATGTCATATTGATTTTTATTTTTTTTTACCAATGTCATATAGAATATTTGACGACACATTATAATTAGAAGAGGGCAAAACCCTAATTATAATAGAACAGCCATTAAAAAGGTTAAAACCATGGATTAAAAAAAGAAAAGGCAAAAAAAAAAAAAAAAAAAACGAACCAGCACACACTTCTTCCTCTTCGTCTCTCAGCAACACAGTCCCAAACCCAATCGATGCTAGCACCATCTCTTCACTCGAACCTCAACCTCAGTTTCATCTCTCTCTCTCTCTCTCTCTCTCACATTTCGAAGTCTCAGCATCTGCTTGATAGGTTATCGTACTATCTTTACTCTTTCTCTGAGACATGAATTTGAGGCACTTAGTTTCTAGGCAAGCAGTAACCAATGCGTCAAAAATCAGTGCAAGGTTGCGATATGCCTACGGTTTCACAACCATGGCAGCAGACCCGGTACCTCTTTCATTTCATTCCCCAAGTCAGGATGGCTCTAAACCTCTGAAAAACCCTAAATGCCCCAAACCCATTTCTTCATTTAATAGATATATTCACTCTGCTCAAGCTCAAGCGGGTGACCCTAAACTTGATTCTGAGGTTTCAGATGAGGAGGAAGATGGAGTCATTAACGAGTTCTTGTCCCGATTTGTATGGATCATACGCCAGAAGCTCAATGAAGCTTACCCAGATTGCGATAAAGAAACCATTGATGGAATGCTCATGATTATTGTCCAGAAAGTTGTTTCAGAGATGGAAAAGGGCGGGATTGAGCAGGTACTTAGTGAATCGCAGTCCACTCCATTGCAGGATTTTAGTGAGGATTTGTGGAAGACAGTGTGGGAGGTGAGCAGTATGGTTTTGGAGGACATGAAGAAGGAAGTCAAGAAGGAAAAAATGAAGGGGTTTCTGCAAGAAGAAGAAGTTAAGGAGATGTGTAGATTTGCTGGTGAAGTTGGTATTCGAGGGGATATGCTTAGAGAGCTCAGGTTCAAGTGGGCTCGCGAGAAGATGGAGGAAACTGAGTTTTATCAGAGCTTGGAGCGTCTTAGAGAAGAGGACAGAAAATCCCAAGAAGAAGGGGAGGCAGCAGAGGGAATGCAAGCTGAAACCACAGTGGAAGAGGAGAAATCTAAGGTTGTTTCTCTCCCCAAGAGGCGAGGGAAGATAAGATATAACATTTATGGTCTTGATCTATCTGACTCCAAGTGGGTAGATGTGGCTGATAAAATTCATGAGGCAGAGGAAATTATTTGGCCCCAGGAACCAAAACCCATAACTGGGAAATGCAAATTGGTTACGGAGAGAATTATTCAATCAAATGTGGCAGATGACCTGTCTCCACTTTTGGCTGAATGGGTAGAACTGCTTCAACCTAGTAAGATTGATTGGCTCAATTTTCTTGATAGATTGAGAAAGCAGAACACTGGCTTATACTTTAAGGTACATCACTCTTTTCTGTTCTCCTTCATTGGATATCATTGCTCTATTAGTTAGATCCTTTTTCAAAATGTTGGTTTTTAGTATCTACTGCTTATTTATGAGTTTTGTATAACTTATGTAAGAGTTCATATATTGTTTGTATGAAAATATGTTTAGGGTGTGGTGAGTTGAGAGGTTTATGCATGTATGTGGGCTTAAAGTTTTAGATTTGGGTTTTAGCTGTTGAGTGTATATGAATCCAAAGGTTATGTAGCTTGTGATAGCGTTGCCATTTATCTTATATTGGCCTTTTCGATGTAGTTGATGCTGAAAAAATTGTTTGCAGGTGGCAGAACTTGTATTGAATGAGAAATCCTTCCAGGCGAACATCCGTGACTACTCTATGCTTTTTGATGCCCATGCCAAACAGAACCACCTAGAAGATGCTGAGAGAATTTTGAAGAAGATGAATGAAAATGGTATCCAACCTGATATCTTAACGGCTACTAGTTTGGTTCACATGTACAGCAAGGTAGGCAATCTTGACGGTGCCAAAAAAGCATTTGAAAGTTTGAGGGGCCAGGGCTTCAAACCAGACATTAAGGTGTACAATTCGATGATCATGGCATATGTAAATGCTGGCGAACCCAAATTGGCTGAGTCGTTGATGAGAGAGATGGAAGCAAGAGACATCAAACCCACAAAAGAAATTTTCATGGCATTACTTCATTCCTTTTCACAAAGTGGTGATATTGGCGGAGCTGGAAGAATTGCCAACATTATGCAGTTTGCAGGGTTCCAGCCAACATTGGAGTCTTGTACATTGCTTGTTGAGGCATACGGGAAGGCTGGTGACCCTGATCATGCAAGGAGCAACTTTGATTACATGATGAAAGTTGGGCACAGACCTGATGACAGGTGCACTGCAAGCATGCTTGCAGCTTATGAAAAAAAAAATTTACTTGATAAGGCGTTGAATCTGTTGATGCAGCTTGAAAAGGATGGATTTGAGCCTGGAGTTGCCACTTACTCTGTTCTTATAGATTGGCTGGGTAAATTGCAGCTAGTTGATGAGGCTGAGCAACTATTGGGAAAAATTGCCGAGCAGGGTGAGACTCCTCCACTTAAAGTTCATGTAAGCCTTTTTGAAATGTATGCTAAGGCTGGAGTTGAGAAAAAGGCCCTACAAGCTCTGGGAGTATTGGAAGCTAAGAAGGAGCAATTGGGTTCAGGTGAGTTTGAGAGGATTATAAATGGGCTTATAAATGGCGGGTTTAAGCAGGATGCTCATAGGTTTCATGGGCTGATGGAGGCCCGTGGTTTTGTTGCGTCCTATTCTCTTAATTTGGCCCTAGCAGCATCTCGATTGAAGCATTCGGGCACAAGAGGCCCTTAATGAGATAGTTTGATGGCCATCTACAGATGCTTCACAATCTATTGGCTGCAAGACCACTGCCAAGATGTTTTGTAGCTTTAGGAATTCATAGCTGTTTGGCCACATGTAGTCAGATACGTGGATTTTTTTTTTTTGGGGTCAAAGTCAGATAGGAGGAGTTAATGTAGTCTGTTTTCACATTATCATCTCAAGTTTATCGATTTTGTGATATTTACCTTGTTTCCAATGCCCGTATGGACAGAATGCAAGTTTAATTTTGATCCAGAATTGATAATAAATTGTTTGAATGCACTTAATGAAGTAGGCTGATTCAGCCTTGCAATTTTTTGTTTCAGCATGTTTTAATAATGTGCCAGATGACTGACATACAAGCATACTATGTATGCTGCACGCATTGGACTAGAAAGTTTTATGCAGGAGGTAGTTTCAAAGGTGTGTTTATGTTGAATTGCATGGTGTGGATGAACACAAAACTAAGATAAGTTCCAACAGTAATGTACCATTTCAATGGAACTTTATGGAAGCAACTTGAGTTGTGTACTTTTGGCTGTTATGCTAATGTCAAGGACCCTTGATCATCACAGCGGTTGTTTATCCAGATTTTGATTGCTAGTTTCAGTAGAACTGACATTCTTTATCATTTAACTATTTAAATGCCTTATGCATTCCTTCTTTAGCTGGGAGAATCTAGGAATTTATGGACTGTCTTTTGGAGATTGGTATTACTGCATTTACAGAGGACATCCTGTTGTAAGTTCTTTATTGTGTTTTATTCATTTTAATTTTAATTTTATTCTTGTTTGTCAAATTTTATGTTTATTTTGATTCCCATTCTAGCACTTTTACTTATGATATGAGTGCCTGGCAGTTCGGTGTCTGGTTCAGTTCATAGGAGAACTATTTCGTGGGTTCTTTAGTTGTGTTCAGTAGAAAGTGATTGAGGGACCAATAAGAGGATTCTGATTTATAGCTGTTCATTATCTTTCTATTTTGGAGATGGATGGGGATGATTATGATGCTAGTTGCAGCAATAAGCTGGTTTTAGAGGCATGATTGTATTTGCAGTGAGCTGTTTGCATGCCAATAATGTAACTAATCTTTCTCCAGATGAATAAAATTTGTAAGACGTGGTTTGCTCTTTGTGTCTGTAAAGTGTTTTACACTTCTGGATTTTAATCTTGTTTTCTGGTCTGAACTGTACGGCCACAGTGATGAAGCATTTTTGTGTACTAATTCTAATTGGATGGTTTTAAACAAGTTGATCATTCTTTATAGTACTTGGACTGTCTTATGTTTGTGTTTCTTTGTGAATATAATTGTGGAAATTATTTATTATTATTTTGGCGAATTGTTACGTCCTGGAGTTAGTTGTGATATGCTCTGTAGATCGTGTTAATGGACCCGCTGAAGATCCATATGTCATCCTTGTCAATTGAGTTTGTCAGAAGCGTCCACCAGAGATTTTGAATAAGGTCAGGCACTGAGTGAGTTTCTTCCACTAAACTTTGTATATTACTGATTGGCTATTGTTTTGGGTTCTTCAAAAATTGCATGGAGCCATCCTTGCATCTTTGCTTGTATTATAAACTGATAGGGAGATTGTAAATTGAAAACTTTTACAGTTTTTTTTTTTTTTTTTTTTTTTTTTTTTTTTTTTTTTTTTTTTTTTTTTTTTTTTTTTTTTTTTTTTTTTTTTTTTTTTTTTTTTTTTTTTTTTTTTTTTTTTTTTTTTTTTTTTTTTTTTTTTAATGTACTGTATGATGTGATGCAGTCTTATGAAATGGTTCCACCGCATGTTAAGATAACAAGTAGTTTTGAAGAGGTGCAGAATAAATGCTTCGAGGAAGAGAATGGGTGTGGCTTTTGGACATGCTTCAGTTTCATTGGTATGAATTACGTTTCTCAGTGCAAGGTATTGTTGTCGACTTCTGTATGTGGTGTTTGAAAACTGAGCAAGTTTTTGATTGATTTAAGTCAGTTTACTCCATTTATTTTGCACTGTTTTGTTTCTTCTTTTAAAATAATTTCGTTTGATTTTTGTCATTTGCAACCACAAGACTCCTAAATGCAAAATTGTCGAGTCTAACATCTCTAATTTACTCTGGTTCAGTTTGCTTGTTGCTAACTGCAAAAGTTTCCTGAAAATGTAACTGAACATGACATAGTCCCAAGCATGTGAAGTACAAAAATGGAGCTCTCCCACATGTAGAATTGTGATTTCACTTCTGTTCTTTCTGGCAGAAGCTTTTTCTGTAGGGCGTCCGAGAGGTTGCTAAGATGTTAGGTTTAGCCAAGGCAAAGTTCCCATTGTTTCTTGAATGTTTTGTAAACTACTTTCGGTGTCTTAGACGGGAAGCTTACCTCAGTATGCGGCGTCTGGACTGAAAAACTGGCCAAACCGGCTGAACTGAAGTGGTCAGTTCAGTTCGGCTTGGTGTTCGTTTTTTTTTAATTAAATCAATGAATAAACTGAACTGAACTGGATCACCTGGATCGGCGATTGGTTTTCAGGATTTGTAAACCGTTGGTTAACGGGGTAAGATAAAGACGGGTCACTTTGAGTTGGCATTCATTCCCCAACCCGTTAGGCCTCTTTATATTGCTTGATTTAAACGCTCTTGACGGTGATATAATTGTTATCATTCCCAACCCAAAAAAAAACATTTGAACTCACTCCACCTATGTCATGCTTTCTTTTACACACAAGTGATACTGCCATGCTTTCTTGCATGCACTCATCACACCCACTTACTGTATTGCTGGTGCATTGTAATCTTGTTTCTTTCTTTCTCATCACGTAAAGTGACATAATCTGGCCCTTTTTTTGTTTTTTTTCAAGGAGGTCAGTGTTCTCAAATTTCCCTTGCATATCGTTCGATTTCATTCAACCACTGCTCAACATTGTTGAAGCTCTCTTGGTCTCTGGCATCCTACAAACCCAACAACATAAGAATAATTAGGTATATATCTTATGAAGGAATTCTGTTTCTAATTCAACCAAATAACCAGTTCAATAACTTCAAATATCTGAGAAGGGTTCCATGAGCAATGGTCAAATGCTAATTTGGCAAGGGAAACAAATATAGTAAGAATATATCCAGTGAATGCTAGGCGGAGAATCAGAACTGAGCAAGCAGCTAGGACAGGTGCTATACCAGCTGCAGTCTTTTCAATGGTTTTCTCCAAAACAAAGAAAAAACTTCTCATATACATATTGAGCATTAATGTAATTTGCAAACACTTGTCTTGTGTGGTGAAATTAATCAAACAAATACTTACTGCCAGTTTTGCTCGCTCCACCTGAGCCTGAGGATGCGCAGCACCTGGCGTGCTTTCATTCAGACATTTCCGTGAACACGTGGGGACCCTAACTCCTGCTATGTGTCCGCTCGTACACAGAGATTAGGGTGACGCGTAATGGTTATGTGAGGAGAGAGATAATGATAAGAGCGAATCCTTAAAACTTTCCTTGTTCTATGGGATGGGACAGTCTAGTTACATTAAAGAAAAGGATAAAATGCATTTCGGTCATTGTGTATTTCATTATTGGTCTCCATAACTTATTTTTTTCTCAATTTTGTTATGTAAGTCATTTTTGGTCATTGTGGTAATTAATTAGATAGAATTCAAATTTTCAAATTATAAAATACAATAATTTAGTATCGAGAAAAATGTTGCGGGGATTGAAAAATTGTTTTATAAACTAATTTTATTTTTACCAATTGGTCTAGCTAAATGAAAAAGACCTAGATTATTTTCTTACCTATTTGATAGAGAAATTCTGTCTCAATTTTTTTTTAAATTTTTACTAAGCTTTGGATTTCTTGTTTGAGGTCCAATTCAAGGTTATAGACATGATTTTTAACAACCCTTGAGCAATATTCATGACTTTAAACGAGTTTTTATTGTGATTTAAAACTAATTAGAAAAAAAATTGAAATTTATTTTTAAATTGCGTATAGAATTAAACACAATAACCAACTTAAGAAAAATAAAATATAAAATGACGGTGACCAAAATTCAAATAAGGCAAAACAATTGAACTCAATTAATATATCGTACCATAAAAAAAAACTAGCTCTACTAGTCATTCCAGCACTCGACTGGTAGCTTGATCATCTGTGCTGCCAATTCTTTTCTGCTGGAAACGGTTCTTTTCTCACACTCTATTAACAGCATATGAAATTATGCACATGATACTGAAATGCCTAAAATTTAAATTTGTTTAACAGTAGAGTCTTTCTACTTTACCCATTTTGTTGAAGCCAAATATTCTCATGTCTCTCTTTCAATGGGGTTCGGACAATGCCCTCCATGCGTTTGACGAAATGCCGCATTTGAATCACCCTTCACAGAAATACTGAAACCCAATTTTCTTTCATCTTATTTTTGCTTTTCTTTGATGATTTCCAGGTTCGACTGACTTCAGCACTTAAGTCTGTTTTGGGTTTTCGTCGTGGAAGGTTAAAAACAAGAAAGCAGCCATGGATGGTATGTGTAAAAAACTGCTTCCTTGCTTTTGCGTTTATGTGCGTTCGTTCTGAAATTTTTACTTATGTGTTTTGTTGATGAAACTTAAACCTTAATATACTGCGGTAACGGTCTGATTTCCCCCACGTTGTCTCAGTTTTTTTTACAATCAAGATGGTTTCAATCTTATTACCTGTATAAGTAGCAATATGTTGAGACTTCAGTTTACATGGCTTATGTGATGCTTACAGAATTTGGTTCTTGCGGCTTGGAAATAAGTGTTGAAGAGCCCAAAAAAAAAAATTTAAAAACAAAAAGAAAGGAACTCTTAGGAATATACATCTACAAGGGCTTGTTACAATATTAAGTTATGAACTGATGAAGAGTTTTTGAATTCATATGCCCAGAATCAGCTAATTGATAACGTCTTTACCACTATCTGATTAGTGATTATTCTCAATTAGTAACAAGCTCTTAATTTGAGATTTACAGCTTAATCTATTGAGATTTAAATTCTTCATGTCCTAACTTTTTACTTTATATTTTTTCTTCTGTTTTCTGTTGATGAGAATGACAAACATTATTCAACCCAAAGATATATTGTCTGAATTTGCAACTGAGTTATAATGCTTTGTTATTACTTTTTGGTCTCCAGTTGATTCACAGCCAACTATGGAGGAAACTATTTTGGTAGGCGATGATCTAATGACAGGCCCACCATCACCAGTTATTCCACCAGAAATTGCTTCTCATGTGCTTGAAGGTGTTGATATGTGTGATGGGATATTGAGGAATCTATTTTTGTGTAAGTTCTGTGC